GTGCAGCAGGTGCTAAATAATTTAAAATAATTAATTTTAAATAAAAATGTCATGCCGATCGTGCGGCTCATCCATCAATCAGCCAATTGTGTGTCATGTCCAATCTTATTGTGAAAAACCACGAATGAGCGAGTCTGTGAAAAATGAGCTGCGAAGTAGCGAGGGACTACTGTAGGCCACTTTTGAAGACCTGTAGTTTTCTCTGGAAAGCACAGCCGATATCAGTTCACCCACTGTGTTGTTCTTCCCTTGTAGCTTCAGATTTGCACTTTTTTTGCTCTGACAGAAACACTTGTAGCTCATTCCTAATGGCCCCAAAGTGCTCAAATTAAACACTAATTAAAATAGAATAAACGAAATAAACACAAATTTCTCAGTCCATTCCTATTTAAACTGCCAGTCTTCGCTGTCCACTTTTTTTTACTGGCAAACTTTGAGCATGCCATGTTAACCCAAACGTAGCAGACCGCTGCTCAAACAACTTCTTTTTTTTTTCAAAATATCATTCTCGCTGTAGCCATGAACTCTCAACAACAGTCGATCAACGTGTTGTTGTCAATTCTTTAGCACATTCTAGCCAAACCAGTCACACAGTGACCGTTTTCAGACCTGAAATATCTGGACCGGATCAACATGCAGGATTAAGATTCAAGATTTTCGTGTTTTCCCAGATCAGGATCCAGACTGACCGCAGATTACAGATAGAAAATAGGTGACGTTCAGACTTAGACGGTTCACGGTCCACTTCTTGCCCACGGGCCGCCATTTGAGGACCACTGCTCTAAAGCCTCCGTGAACAAGATAATGCAGTCTCACAGTTCCTTGTGGCTGCAACATTCAGAGTTCTTGATTATTATTACTATTTTTGGGGTTCATACAGAAATCTAAGGGCATGTAAGCAAGTGACCAAGCCAGATTTTTTTTCCCATGCAACTTTTTCTGTCCCTTCTTAAATGTACTTACTTTTGAGAGTTAAAATATGTCATATTTCAAGTCACGCTAACGATGTGCTACTGTACAATATGCATCCTCCAAAATGGATATGGGAGTTTATTATTTTTGTTTGGATGGGTATTGTTAAATTCAGGTGTATCCTGTTTGATATGTTATCCTCATTACCTCATTAGGCATGATGATTGAATATTCATGTTTGTGTATCTTGGTATTTTTTTGGTTCTAAAGAACAGACTGTTAGAGTTTAACTTTATATTTTAAGGTGTATGTGTAAAATGGGAGCAATTTTCCAACAACACATTTGGACAACATAATCTGTCAAAAGGTTTTTATTTTGTCCATGGCATAGTTGTAAAGTCACTGAAAGAACAGTCGATTCAGACATAAACTTTATGTTCAGGGGTCTGTCATTCTTAACGGACTGTTCTGTCAAATTTAATCGGCTGTGATTATCCAGATGTGTCCCGTGGTGATGATGATATGAGAAAGGAAAGGCTGGACTCTAATCAGAAAGTTTTAGGCAGCTCATAAATATATTTTGTTTTTCTGTGAACTATGACCTTTGCAATATTGGTAATCTTTTGCATGCACTTTTTGAGGTGAGGGGTGTCACATTTATTTTTTTTACAAGTAAATTAGTAAGGGATTTTAAATATGTTCTTAATCTTGTAGTATTTATTTAGATTTTTGACTTACTCTTTTTTTAAAATTAAACCAGCTTGTTATTTCTTCTATACTGCACATAGTTGGTTCATATAAATCAAGGAAGTAATGTAGCCGTGGTGTGGTCATGAGCTGAAGATGTAGAGTCAAACAGCAGTTTCAACAACTTTATTTTGAATAAAAGAAAAACTAATGTTCTAGTGCAGGACTTCAACTAAACTGCTCAGGGAGCCACAGTTACTGAAAGTAGCAGCTCAGGGGCCGGACATCCAGCGCTTAAAGTCATTATGTAAATAAACCAAGTATTACAATGATCTGTTCCCTTTTAAACTTGTTTATTTTGTTGCATTGAATCATAAATGCAACAAACAGAACCCAAACCCAGAACCCCACCCCCCACATAAATAAATAACAAAAATAATAAAGTTTTTATGAACTCATTGGTGGGCCAGACTGAAGTCACCGGCCCATGGGCCACTAGTTGAATAGCCCTGTTCTAGGAGCATCAGTAGTAGATCTATTGGAGAATGTTGTGAGAAAATTAAACGTTTAATAAAAATAAAAATAAAAACTACCGGTATTCTACTGAAAAACAAATATAAATGACGTCACAAACACCTAGCTTATATTGCCAGTTTACATCATAATAAACCAATGAGCTGAAGCTGACCCATAGGTGAAATATTATGTCTTTGATTTGTTTTTGTTGTTTTTACAGATCAGCATGCATTAAGCACAAGAGTTGAATATGATTCAAGTTGAATCATATTCTTGTAAAGCTCTTACCAGCTGATTACCAACATTTTGATTTGACTTGCTCTCTTTTGTAAATGGAGAGAGATAAAAACTACAGTTGGCAGCACACCAAATGTAGGTATTTTTTTTTGTCTCCTTTCTAGTTTAATAGAAATTTGACAGGTTAGATCAGGGGTGGGCAAACTTTTAGACTCGCAGGCCACACTGAGATCTAAAATTGGAGCAAAGGGCCGAGCCAGGAACAGATGATGGAGTGTTTGTGTGATGTTACACCCCAGTGCAATAACAGCTGCTCACATGCAATTAATTATGGGCGATTCCACCTTCTGCACCACTCAAGCAGCCACTAAGTCAGCATTATATGATAGAACAGGGATTTTATTTACAGTAGTGAATTTATTGACTTTGTGGGGACTTACCAACTTCAAGCTAAAACAACAAACAAAACAAACCACTGTATTTTCTCTTACCTGAAGAAAAATAAAATGAACCAAACCACAAGTCTCTTACCTCACTATTCTAATGGAATACAGGAAAAAAGTCCAAATAAAGTGGCAGCTCACCTCTACAAACTCCTCACAAAACTTTTTACAACTACAGGATCTAAAGTTG